AACTTGTATAGAGTAATTAGGAAGTTAATAAAAAAAAATAGGTCACTTAGTAGAAAAATGTGCAAAAAAGACTTAGTCAATTCACCAAAGAAGAAAGCCCAATGAAAATAAACCCTGGAAAAGTGCTCAACAAAAATAATCAGAGTCAAGCATGGTAGAGCATGCCTGTAATACCAGCACTTGGGAGGCTGAGGCAGGAGAATCACTGTGAGTTGAGGCCAGCCTGGGCTACAAGGTGAGCTCAAGGCCAGCCTGTACTGCATAGTGAAATCTTGTCTCAAAAAATATAATAATAATAATAATAATAATAATGATAATAACAGAAATTCAAATTTAAACAGCAATGAAAAATATAACTACTACCTCTTTTGCCTGCTGCTTGCATCAAAATGATGCAAAATAGTGTCTAATGTTTCCTTCCCAGCCACTGGATGCCTGAAATTCCATGAAGTGGTTGATGAACATAAACTTTGTACTTTCTATAAGATGCATATGACCACAGATGTCACTACTGATCCTCTGAGTGCACAACAGAAGGATTATATGTTCCAAATCAGTGGTGGGGATGACAAAAAAAAAGTTTCCTCATGCAATAGGAAAGCCATGTGTATCTGTTACTAAGGTGTATTCCTGTCAGAAAAAGTTTCCTCATGCAATAGGAAAGCCATGTGTATCTGTTACTAAGGTGTATTCCCCACAGCCATGTGAATCTGTTACTAAGGTGTATTCCTGTCAGCGACCAAGGAGAGCAGGAGAGTAGCACAAATCTATTTGGGTTTGCATTGTGAAAAGAATGCCAAATTGAGCGTTCTCAACTTGGTTATTATAAAAAGGAGAGGATATCTCTGTATTGACTGACACTACTGTCCTTCATCACTCAGGGCCCAAAAGAGCTGGTGGAATCCGCAGCTTTTCAGTTTCTCTGAAGGAGGTGACATGTCTACAAACATGTCTGCAGAAAGCTCTTAAACAAGGACAGTAAGAAATCCAGAACCAAAGCACCCAAGACTCCGTGTCCTGTTACTCCAGTGTCCTACCACACAAACACTGGCATATTTGCTCTAAAGAAACAAGATACTAAGAAAAATAAGGAAGAATATGCTAAACCTTTGGTCGAGAGAATGAAAGAAGCCAAGGAAAAATGCCAGGAACACATTACCAAGAGACATTCTGGCTGTTGTAGTTTATATCCAGAGGTTCCTCCTTAAGTGTCATGCCCTCATAGGCAGGACTTTGGGAGGTGATTTTATCATGCGGGAGCTATACTCATCAGTGGACCAGTCTGCCACTGACTTTGTAGCTAAATGTGACGCTGGATGTGGGGCCTGCTCTCAGATAGATCCTGAAAGGATCTATCTCACTCGCCACTCTCTCTGCTCCCCACAGGGCCATGCTTTGAGCAGCTCTCCTCTGTCATGCCTGTCTGCCATGCTGCCCTGCCTTGGAGCTAGCTGATTATTAACTGAAATCTCTGCTCCTTCATGTTGCAGAGGTCAGACATTTTTGTCTTGGTTACTTTTCTCTTGTTGCTGAGATAAAATACCCAACACCCAAAATGAAGGAAGGAAAGGTTTATTTAGCTTACAGTTTGTGGAGGTTTCAGTCCATACTGGGCTGGCTCGGATGCAGAAGATAGCATCCAAAGCAACAAGAGCAAAGCGGGGAATGGCAATGTGTGCAAGCCTCTTTCCCTCCCTTATATTGTAAGCAGGCTACCCCCACCCAGGGGGCAGCACTCACATAGTTAATCTTCTAAGCTTCTCACATTGACACAATGAACAACATCCTAGAGCAGGAAGGGCATGTCCTTTTCATCCCAGGATGTAGAACTGCTGAGTCATTTAGCCAAACCTCTATACTCCCCAAGTTGACACAATGTATCAACCATAACAATTATATTTCAGCAATGAGGAAAATGACTAAGACGTCTGTCCTTTCCGAGAGATATTTTACATCTGAGTTCAGTCAAAAAATATTAAGACTATCTAAGGATAACAAAAAAAATAAGATCAGACATCAAAAAAATACTATCAGATATGACTATACACACACCAATATAGCTACATTTGAATAGTCTAATCAGATAAGAAGAGCAACAGAAGTTCTCACACATGGTGACACTTTGGGAAAAATTTGGCCTTTTTAAGTAAAACTGAAGTTTGCAACTGGTATGGTGGTGCATGTTTATACATAGTGGGAGGCTGAGGCAGGAGAATTAGCATGAATTCAAGGCCAGCCTGGAATGCATATTGAGACCCTGTCTCAAAACAAAAGGTGCTGAAGTTTGTATATTCTATATTTCACTCCTAGATATTATTTCCAATTTCATTCACATGTACTGTAGGGGACCAAAAATTATAAATTGAGTTTAGAGGACACCCAAGTCCATCCTTGTCCTTCTGTTTGAGCCAGATGGGAACACAGAAATTCCCTGCTCTCTTCTGGTCACAGATGAAAGCCCTAGGGCTAGTGACTCTGTGGATTTACAGGGCAAGATAAGACCTGCTGAAGACAATAAGGCATCTAAAGAAACCACAGTTTCCTTATTGCTGCCTCTCTCATCCTTGCAAGAATCTTTGTGCTTCTTACTAGTCCACCACAGTTGCCATTACTGTTCCCAGAAACACTCACATCCCTTCATCCATTGTCCTTGATGCAGATGTGATCAATAAATACCAAGGTCTTGGCTGCCTATGGCCCTTTGTTCCCCATGAACAGCTGGTCATCCCAGATCCCTGCTGCACTGCTGTTTGGTCTCTTGCTCTTTCCTCTCACCAAGCACCTTAACACCTGGCAGGAGACTGGCACCCACTGCAGGGGTCCCCAGTAATATACAATGATTTATGTACAAAAACATTCATGGGAATGTTACTCCTAAGAGTTCTAAAGTGGGAACATCCCAAACACTCAACAACAGATCAGCGTTGGGTTATTGCTGTGGTTTGGATGTGGATTATGCCTCCAGGGTTCCTGTGATGGAGCCTTGGTCCCCAGTGTACAGCTATTAAGAGGAGGTAGAACTCCTAAGGATGGGGCCTATTAGGTCATTGGCGTCATCACTCAGGGAAGAGATTAACACTGGTTTTATAGTGAGTTATCAAGAGAGTGAGTTGTTATAAAAGAGAAAGCCCAGACCCTGGATCCCCCTCTGGCTTCCTGCTTAACATATGATCTCTTCCTTTCACATTCCCACCATGAGGCCATCCACCATGTCACGACACAACCAAGGCAGTCCTTCTAGTACACCCACTGAGCTATGAATTCATTAATTGTTAGTCCATTGGTAAAGTTAGAGCTCTCATGATCCCATCCCTTACCCAAAGCCTATCAGCTGGCAATCAAGGCTTTAGCACATGGCCTTTGGGGGACATTTTTAGATCCAAATCATAAAAGAAGGCAAGACAGAAACATGGTTGAGGAGAACATAAGCTAATTGGTTGCTACTTTTAATCTTTTTAACAGTGTAGGCATGATCAAAGAAAATATTTGTAATGAGATACACATCACTGTGGGGAACACATCTTGTTCTCCAGACTTTGCAGCCAGCTTACCAAAGGCATACTTTTTTTTCTCTCTCCTTAGAGTGCTGGGGATTGAACCCAAGGCCTTTACACTGAGCTACATTCCCAGACCATTTTTGTTTGTTTGTTTGTTTTCTATTTTTATTTTAAGACAAGGTCTTGCTCAGTCGACCAGGCTGACCTTCAACTTGTGATCTGTCTGCCTCAGCCTCCCTGAGGGCTGAGATCACATGTATGCTCCACTATATCAGTTCAATCTATGCCTATGTAATTCTGAAGGCTGCACATTTCCATTTTTTTTCTTTCTTGCTCAAAGTTCAACAAGTATCCAACTATTTTCATGGGAGATATTGTTTCATCTCCTTTTGAGCCATTTGTCCTCCTGGCAACTTTTTGTGGTGGGAAATTCTTTTACATCCTCATCTGACAACATTCTAATCCTTCAAAAAAAAATAAAAACCCAATTTAACCAGTACCGGACAAAAACCAAAAAAAAAAAAACAACAACCAATTTAATTATCTCCTTGTCTAGACTGCCACTCCATTTGGTGCGTACAATCTATGTGTGCTCTCATTGCTTTATATTGCGATGATTTCTTTTCTTGCCAGTCTCCATACCAGACCATGACCTCCTGAATGGAAGTTTGCACCTCAAGATACTATACCATGGTCGTTTAAGGCAAGTTTAGCAGGTCCTTACCCTTTCTGTGCCCTCTCTTATCTATGAAGTGGACATAACAGCGGCAACTTTAAGTAACTAGCTCTCACACCTATCTTTTATTTAACTAGATAGAAACATATTCATGAGTTTCACTTAGAGGGGAAAAAAGTTTTGTATATATTTAAAATGTAGCCAAATATGAGTCATTATTTTTAGGTCAAACAAATGCAGATGGCTGTTGGAAAACAGAAAGATTTTGGCAGGCAATTGTTGGCATTTCTCCAGTCTCTCTCCAGCAGCTTCACATGACTTCTCTCCCATATTCGGGTCTCTTCAGTTCCCCAGCTGTCAGAGTACCGTCTCCAGAAAGTCCTCTCTGGTATCCTGGCTTAGGCTCTGCCCGGCACCTGATCACTTTTATTCAAAGGTCTTCTTAGATGCCTGATACCACAAAACTGACTTGAGCAGGGAGTCCGTCCTATTTTCTTCTGTGTTCAGAACTCAGCAACAACTGACATCCCCAGGCTACTCCTCTCAAGAACTAAAAGCCTCCTCCTGGACACTTTCCCTCTGCATCAGTCGGTCCTTGCGTTTTAGTGGTCCTCAGTGTCCTCAGGAAGCCTTAGAAACCAAGACTCAGAAGTAATTCCAAGTGTGCTCCCTAGCTCCTTCTGGCGAAAACCCCTACAATCCACGTGGAGCCTTAGCGCAGCCTCAGCTCCTGCTCCCGCCCCTTCGCCCCGCCTCCTTCGCAGGAGACACAAGTGCGCATGCTCTATCTCAGGCTCCTCCTTGCGTGATGATGTAAGCGGCGTTGACGTGGTAACGTGGAGCCCGTGGGCGAGCCTTTTGCAGCCCGGCTTTCACGTGTAGTTTTAGAATTATCGCGTTGTAGTGGGTCGTGCTGTCCGCCTAGGCGCGTGGTTTGTTCTTGGCGTTTACAGAGTGTGCTGTCACCCTTCTGCCACGCTGGGGAGAGGGAAAGAAGCGGTTCTACAGGGGACAGACTTGGGAGCCCTAGTGCGCCTTTTAGAGCGGGCTGCGGCGGAGCATAGAGGAACCTTGCAGGCAGGGTTTGAACAGGCTTGGACCAGGGCTGGGCCTGCGGAGGCCCGGGGTGGGGGCGATGCTCCGGGCCCGGTGCCTTTTCCGAGCCCTGCGCTCCTGCTCTTCCGCGCCTTGTCCAAGGCACGGGCTTTCGTCCAAACTGAGCGTGCGGGACGCTCTCGGGTCCCAGAACACGAGTGGGGAGCGCGTTAAGGTCCAGGTGGGTGAATGGAAAGAGCATGGGTTTTTGTTTGTTTGGTTTTTGTTTGTTTTCAGGGACATATATGGCACATGCACGTCGAGTTTTACCTTGTGCTTTCAGATCAGACAGAACGAACAGCAGAGAAAAGTTAGAAAATGTAGGCGTGGCTGCAGTTCACACTTTTGCCTTCCCTCGGGTACTGTTTCGTTTTTTGCAGAACTGTTCTGATCACTATAAAATGCAGCAACTTGGTTTTCATGATTCCACGCCAGCATCCGTAACCCTTTAATGGTGCAGAAAAATGTTAGTGAAGAAACCCCTTTTCTTTACCTTGATCTGATCTATCACAATGAATATCAACAGTTATACAGTGGACCTTGCGGTAGCTCCTTAAGAGCAGAAACTGTCGTACCTAACTTGATACTCACTTGGCTGACAGTAAAATACTCCTGCTAAGCAGTGCCTTTTATTCAGCTTTTAGCTACCCGTCCCTAAAATGGGGCTCACCTGAAAGTTATGTTCCATAAATTAGGAGAAAGTGAAATGGAGCAGTTTGAAAGAGTTGCTTAGGATTAAATCTCTCCCACTGAGTAGCTTGTTAATTAAGGGCATGTTATTTAAGTGCTCCAAACCTAAGTTGTGTTTTATGAAAATAGAGCTAATGATGGTCTCTACTTCATAGGGTCCTGAAAACTAAATGAGGTGATGAGTGTATTTAGAATAGTAGCCCACAGTAAATAAATGTTAGCGGCCATTATTTCTCTTGCTGGTAGTGTTTCCCCCACCAACATACAGGAGAGTTTTCCCTCCAGGAGCAAGTTAAGGAAGATGTTTGACTCTTAATAAGTTGCCAAAACCCTGATGAAGTTGTTTGGGTGTCCTCATATATCCCTGCTGTTTAGCTATATGAACAATCTGCTCTTTGCATTTATTTGGGTTTCATATTCTTTCCATGATCTAAATCAAAATCTTTTCTGTTAATTTGGCATTTCATAGATGATACCTTTTGTGTGCTAGTTAAAACCTCATTCAAAGATTAAAAGAACGGAACCTGCTCTCTAGAATATAGGCTTTCAGTTCTGTGCTTTGTGGTCTGACATGGTACCTACCAGTCACTTGTGGATCTGAACGCTTGAGATGTGATTAGACTCTGTTGAGATGTCCTGTAAATGTAAAGTATATAATAATTTTGAAGCACAAAAAAGAATGCAAAATATAGTATCTCAGTATATTTTTATATTGATTATATATTGGTAGTATTTTGGGCATAATGGCTTAAATAAAATATTTCGACTATTTTTGCTTTCAAGGTGACCACTAAAAATTTCAGAATTACTTAAACGGTTTGCACTATATTTCTGTTGGACAGCCCTTGTCTATAACAATGTTATTATTATTTGTGGTATAAATAAAGGGCTATGAGAAGATAGGAAAGGAATCCCATAACTAGAAAGTCAGCAATGAGAAATGAGAGGACTTTTCAGCTGAACCCTACAGGATGTATTCCCCGGGTAGAATAAGTGAAGATAGACTGGAAATAACCTCAGAGTGTGTACCCCAGGCCGATGAACTGAACATGGGGCAGGAAGGAATAACTACATGTACCAAATGTACTGCTTGGTGACTATGACCTGATTGTTTTCTTAACCTCTAAATGTATTATTTCAAAAATAATAATTACCACTTCATTTTGGTTTTGTCAGGATTCAGTAACATACTTATAGAGAACTTAGAAACACATTTAAGAAGTGTTAACTTTTATTAGGTAAAAATAAGTGGTGCTTCATAAATTACTAGTAAATGAGCATGACCAAAAAAGCAGGTGCCTGTGGGGAATTGTGAGATGAAGTGCCTTGTACATGAGGCTGTGTGAATTTACGTTTCATCTTACGTAGCCCTGGCAAAAGATCAAGGGCTTTCTAGCCAAATATACTTGGGTTCAAGTTTGGAGTTTACCAGTAGTAAGTCTGAACAAGTTATTTATCTTCTGTGAGCCTCAATTTTCTAATTTGTAAGTGCGTATGATAATCCTTAGAGCCACTGTAAGGAGGAAATGAGACAGCATGTGATGGTAGTAAAATATTTCTTGTGCATGTTCAGTAGATGGTAAATATCTTTCACTAAAAATATTTGTGGATTTTCACATATGTACCTGGCAATGTACTTTAAAGCAAGTGTATTTCTTTCCCTTAAAGCATTATGGACAGGTAAATAAGTGGTAGAAGGGCAGTAAAAGTAGGATCTGAAGATTATGGCCAGAAACAGAAAATAATAACCAATAGTTTTTCTATGTGGAATCATTTTTTGCTTTTCCCAGTGTGTTTAATGGTGAATGTCTATCTATATGCATTAACTTTACATTTATGGGATACTTTACAGTTGTTTGGTGTCTGCTGTTAGAACATTATTCTCTTTTAATCAATATGTTATATTTGAGTATATCTGAGAGAACTGTTTTTAGTGTTACTGAACTGCCCAAAGACATGTCATTTGTACTGGCATGTAACTGTCATTTAAATTTAAGACCATCTTTGAAAGTTTGCTAGTTAATGTGTGCATATGGTGACTTTTTTGAGAGCTATTGGGGGTTAGAGGGAATTTGATAGAAAAATGGCAACAAGATATAAACCTGGTTATTTGTAATGATGGGAGGGGATACCTTGGAAAAGTGAGTATTGGAGGGAATTGGTTGTATGAACTAGGCTCATTAGCTTGATTTGGCATCTATTTAGAACGATGAGATTCATTAAGAGAACAAAAGGTAGGATCCCACAGTGTGTGTCTCACTGTGATAAGAACCATGTAAAGTTATGTGTACATGTAGATAAATTAAAAGTTCATTTTGTGCAGTTGATATATTGAAGCAAGATTGTGAGTACATTTTTTCTTCTTTCATTTAGTCTTTTTTATATGTGTAATGAAAATGTAAAATGTGTACATGTTTAAGCTCGTGTTTAGGAGTGTTTCTCTCCTTTAGGGATGGATTCGTTCTATCCGGTCCCAGAAGGAAGTCTTGTTCCTACATATAAATGATGGGTCGTCTTTGGAAAGCCTTCAAGTTGTTGCAGATTCAATCTTTGATAGCAGGTGAGGGATTTTTTTTGTTTTTTCTTTTTTCTTTTTGGGTTTTTTTTTTTTTTTTTTTTAGTTCTTTGATTCCCTTCCCTGAAGTTCTACACTTACCTAATCCAATGCTCACCTTGCCCCTGTGATAGTTAAGCTTGATTGTGTCAACTTTGTTGGCTTGGAGTTACCCAAGGAATTGGTGGAACATACTTCTGGCTGTGTCAGGGTGGGTCATAGAGCATGGCCTTAGGTACTGTGGTGGATTAACTAATGGTCAACTTGGAATACCAGCTGAATTTAGCATGTTTCTGGGTATGGAAGACTCAGCTGAGGATTGTTGCCAACAGCATAAGAGCAGGACTGGAGGGGAAGATGGTATGCTGTTGCTGGAGAAACTTGTCACACTGGTTTTCCTGATACGAACTCAGTTGTTCTCATCATTGGAGAAGCTTGGGTCCTCCCTGTTGCTGAGTAACTGCTATTCTCTTCAGGGGAGTTATGGTCCCTACCTTGAGTGTCACTTCCTAGCTCCACTGCAGATCCCTCAGCTTAGTGGCACAGATCCCTCACCCCACTGGCACAGACCTTCCAGCTTCCACCACTACTACTAACCTTTGGGCCTTACCCTTGCAGATCCTTGATACACACTTGGATAAGACGTTGTGGGCTCTAGGCCTCCAGCTGTACTCATGGAGGACACTGACATGGGCTGTAGGTCTTCAGCTGAACCCATGCAGGACATTGCCATGGGATCCAGGCCCTTAGCTGGGTTCTTTGGTCTCTAGCATGTGGACAGATTTCTTACACTCCTGCATTTGACTTTTTGGGTGAATATTATAAAATAATCCTATAAATTATAAACCCTGTGTAACCCTATTCCCTTGCAAACCCTGACTACAACAGGCCTTTATCTTTTTCCTTGCTCCTCCTCCTTTGCTATTCCTCAGCTCTCTTTGCTGGCTGTAATGAACAAGCATCTTTGCTCTGCCAAGACATTCCTGCCTTAATGTTCCATAGCTGACTGACTGTGAACTGATATTCTGAAATCATGAGACAAATTAAGCTCTCCTTCTTTAAGGTGTATATGTCAGGTATTGTGTCTTAGCAATGAGAAAGTTGACCAGAACAGAAAATTGGTATCAGAGAAGAGGGATTATTGCTGTGTCTGTTCCAGATCATGATGTTTAGGTGACTCTGGAACTGGTTTGTAGGAAGAGTTTGGAAATGTTTAGAGGTGCCAGTGGAGAAGCCTTGGAATATTATAAGAAGAGCCTCATAGGTGATTCTGCTTGGAGCTCAGAAGATCAGAATGCTGATAGGAATGTGGATAGTAAAGGTCAGGCTCAGGAGGTTTTAGTTGGGAACAAGAATTCTTTTGGCAACTGGACTAGAGGCTCTATGTGTGTTATACTCTAGAAGAAAAATTTTTCTCTGTTTTGCCATGTCCTGAGACTACAGGAAGCTGAGTTTAAAGATGGTGGACTAATTGATCTGGCAGAGGAAATTCAAAGGCAGCCCAAAATTAAGGCTGTGGCATGAGTACTGCTTGCTGCTTTTTTAGCCAGATTTAAAAAGGGAATTGGGGGCCAAAAGCAGAGCGGAAAAATTGGGAAACTTAGCTTTTGGCCCCAAAGGAACCATATGTACAGTTGTGGCTAAAGGGGGTTTGTTTGCTGAAGATATTAGCCATTAAAAACAAATCCAAGTGCTGGGCATAGTGGCACATGCCTGTAATCCCAGCACTCGAGAGGCTGAGGCAGGAGGATCGATGTGATTTCGAGGCCAGCCTGGGCTACAAAGTGAGCTCAGGGTCAGCCTGAACTGCATAGCGAGACCCTGTCTCAAAAGACAAAAAAATAAAAACAAATCAAGTGCTGTGTACAGGTATAAGAAAGAAACTACTGTGTAGAGGGATAAGAAGATCCCCTTGAGGGGATCTCTGAAATCAGCAAGACCCTACCCATTGCAGGCTCAAGTGTACAGAAATACCAGTCTTTCATTTGAGAAGTGAATCCCTGGAACACCTGCTCAAGAAAGACCACATAGGGAATTGGTTCCCCACGATTCATTTCACTGTATTTACCCATCCAGATACTCAGAAGCTGCTGCATCCATGGCCCAAGGGGGCCTCAATACTGTTAATTGACAGCAGACCTTGGTGTCATCCATATGATGCTAGTTTTACTAACATGCAAAATGCAAGAGTTGTAGGGTAAGGGTGACTTCCACCCTGATTTCAAAAGGAAAACAAGGAAGGATCCTTGTTTTGAAAGATCAACCAGAGGGTATATCAGTCAGTTTCCACCCTGGAAAACAAGGCAAGGATCCCCTGAGAGGGCAGTGCATGAAACTGTGAGAGTGAAGCCAGAGGTGCACTGGAGACTCTAGTGAGTCAGAGATGCTAGGAATGGTGGAATGTCTGCAAGGAAGGAAAACTGCAAGCGTAAGTGGATCCAACCAAAAAGAGAGACTTTGTGAGTTCCATCCAGCAAGGCCATAGGGATGGGTCATCCCAGCCCTTTGATACTCACATTTTACCACTGTGTGTCCTGTATGCTATGTATGGAGCTACAGAACTTAATGTATGCCCTGCTAGGTGTTGGTCTTTTGTTGGTCCCATTCTTTTCTGCCTAATTATTCCTCTTTGGAATGGGAGTATTACTTCATGCTATTGTACCTTGGGATTAGATAATTTGTTTTTTATTTGTACAGAAGTTCACAGTTGAGTTTTCCTTGACTCGCAGACGAAACTTGAACTTTTGGAAAATGCTGGAACTGTTGAGACTGGAGAAAGGGTTGTTGTGTTTTGGGTTGTACACAAGATTGTTGTATCATGTTAGGCAGAATTATGGCTTTGTGTTTATTTGGGGATTAAATATGGTTTAGGGCTAGGCATGGTGGCACAGGCCTATAATCTTAGCACTTGAGGAGCTGAGCCAGAAGGATCACTGTGAGTTTGAGGCCATCCTGGGCTACACAGTGAGTTCAAGGCCAGCCTGAACTCCATTGACCCTGTCTCGTAAAACCAGTCAGCCAGTCTGTAATGGTTTAGGGAAATGTGTTTGGGTGTCAAGTTAACAAGGAATGGGATGTGATGATTAAATTTGATCGTGTCCACTTGATTGGTTTGGAAGTTGCCCAGGGTGTTGGTGGAGCACACTTCTGGCTGTATTTGGATGGGTCATGGAAGGTGTGACTTTGGGTACTATATCGTATCCCTTGCCCCTTTCTTGCTTTTCCCCTCCTCTGCTTTCCAGCTTGTATGAATTAAGCATCTTTGCTTTGAAGTGCTTTTTTGCCATGTGTTTCTGCCTTGGAGCCAGCCAGCCATGGATGGAATTTCCTAAACCTGTGAACTGAATAAACCTACCTCCTTTAAGTTATAGGTTATTAAGTATTATGTCTCTACAATGAGAAAACTGACTGATATACCCTCTGGTTGATCTTTCAAAACAAATCTATGCAAAATAACTTCGAAGGTAAGTCCAAATACTTGGAATCATGATCTTTCAGTGTCAAGCTTTTCATTCTTTTGCATACACCAGTGTCTTTTATCTGTGCTTTGCTTCAGTCTGCCTTAACTGCTTGCAGCTACATTAAGCTGTTCTCTTGTTTTCTAGGTATTGCATGTAATGCTGCCTCTGCCAGAATAGCCTCCTAGCCTCTTCTTTGCCTATTGTTCTCACCCCCTGGCTCTCTCAGTTGCTTCTTAATACTCCCATCCTGTGCCCACCTCTGTCATAGAATGTGTCACAGTGCACAGCAATCAGCTGTGTTATTGTTTCACTCCTTTTAATTAAGAACTTTGCATTCCTTGAGGTCAAAATTTAGTGTCTTTCACCTATTTGTGTTTTTGGCGTCTGGCACAGTGCTGACAAAGTAACCAATTATTGTTTGTTGAATAAATGGAAAAAACTTTTATGGTTTCATCCATCATGTTAAATGAGCACCATACTTAAGTTAGGGTATGAGGTCTTAGGAGCAGAACATTCTAATTTGTTAGAGTAAAAGTGCTTTGCTATTCCAAGGATTGGTAGGATTAATGTTGTCCACATTGATCAGGCTCAAGGATCTAAGATTTGGTCAACTGGGCAGAACAACAAAAATTATCTGATGTAAGCATAGTCTTTTAAAAGTGTGTATTTTTTCTGATAATATCTATCAGTGTAGCAATCACATGAATGTGTAATGGTACCTGAATTTTAGAGCTGTAATGGCAAATCTTTTAGAGCTTTCAGTGATAAACACCCCACTGCAGCATGTGTGCCTAGGTTCGCCACCACTGTCTTAGAGGTTTGGGAGAATGACTGCCTACCTCTGATTATTCTCAAGAACACCCAGGGGTAAATTCATGTATGTCAGGTAGTGTGTATTTTAAGTTAGAGTGTTTCAAAATATCCTTTCAGGTTTGGTGAACGTGTACGAGGTTTTTTTCTCCCTATGATGCAATAGTAGATGATGTTAATTTTTATATATTATGTAAAAATAGATTTTAAAAGGAAATAATATATATTAAATGGAACAAGGAAACTAGGTATAGAATCTCCTGATACATTTACTTGACTACCGTTTGTTTTTTTTTTTTTTTTTTGGTTTTTTTTGGTACCGGGAACTGAACTCACGACCTTGCGCTTGCCAGGCAGGCGCTTTTGCCGCTGAGCTAAATCCCCAGCCCCTTGACTACCGTTTGTATTACTGTATTGTGATATTTTACTATAACTTATTAGAGAAGGTACTTACCATATTATAATTATAATATACTAGAACATATTTGTGAACATTTAGTGAACTCCTTGGTAGATGATTGTTTTTGTTTTTGTTGTTGAGACAAGGTGTCCCTATATAGTTTGGGCTGACCTTGAACTCATTATGTAACTCAAACTGGCCTTCAGCTCACAGTAATCCTCCTCCTGCCTTAGTCCCCTGAGTGCTGGGATTATGGGTGTGTGCCACCATGCCCAAATTTTTATAGATGATTCTTTTTTTATTTGTCTTTTTTAAGACAAGTTCACGGTGTAGTTCAGGCTGGCCTTGAATTCACAGTGTAGCCCAGGCTGGACTCAAACTCACAGGGATCCTCCTATCTCAGCCTCCCCAACTCTGTGATTACAGACATGTGCCACCACATCTGGCTATAGATAATTCTTTAAGCAAATGAATTACATCACTTTCTGTAGTAGTCATACAGTTAATTTTGTGGGTAAACTTGATCTAGAACAAAGACCTATTAACCAGATAGTAGTCTGTATATGTTCAGACCATCAGCCAACTATCTTTAAAAAACAATAACAAAACTTAAAAGACATTTTAAAAATAATAGGGGAATTCCCATGTACTTGTCACTCAGCTTTCCCAGTTATCACTGGATGTTTCCAAAGCTAGAGAACTGGCCTTGGTGCAGTATCATCAACAAAACTACAGACATGATTTGTATTTCACTAGTCTTTACATATAATCTGCAATCTTGTAAAAAGTGTTTTGGACTATTTACTTTTTGAGCAGGATAATTATATACCCTCTTAACTACAAATAGCTATATATAAATTCTTTACTCTTTTTGTTTCCATTTTAAAACTTAAGGAATTAATTTTTATAATTTTGGCATACAGTACAGCACCTGTAAAATCTGAAGGCTAACTTAATTGAAGGTAAATACTGTCATTAAGTAATTTAATGTTCTGATATTAAGATCTGTGTTTAGATGAAGGTTATACATAATGATGTCTTATTTATCTTGGGTTTTTTGTTACTGTAGAGAACTGGCTTTTGGAAGTTCTGTGGAAGTCCAAGGGCAGCTGGTAAAAAGTCCATCCAAAAGGCAAAATGTGGAACTGAAGGCAGAAAAAATTGAAGTTATTGGGAATTGTGATGCCAAGGTATGTTTATTGATCCTTTTGTGGAGGCTGTTCAGGCTTAATTTGCAACGTTAGTAATCTGTTGTAAGTATGATTATTGGGAAGATGGCATTTAGAACATATTTCAGTTGATAATTGAAATAGTCCATACAGCCTATAAGATTATAATAAAATTATTAGGTAAATGACCTAATCTTATGAGTGAAAGCTAAGTATTAATCTGTGTACCCTGTGATACATGTTATGTTTGAATCTCCCTGGGGTTACAAGAATGCCCAGTCAGCGAAATGACAGAGCCATCCCAGAACAGGCCATTTCACTTTCACATTCTTAAAAAAAAGCTAAAGATGACCTGCATAATCTAGAACTGATCATCCCAGAGAGGCAGTAGTCACCTTTGGCTGTTTGATAGTATATCACTTAAAAAAAATTAGCAATCTAGGTCCTGATGGCATTAGCAGGTCAGATGCAGCTGTTTGTGGCTACCATTATCAATCCAGCCCCTTAAATTTATAGTGATGGAGAAAATGAGGCCCAGCCAGGAGAAATTGTGTGCCTGACGTACTGAGATGATTAGTGGCACATCTGAAATTTATATTTCTGCGTTTTGACAACTCTGTCTTTTGCTATAATTGTCTTCAAATACTTGATGAGTGAAAAATGAGAAAATACAGGAAAGTGAATCATTTTAATTCAATTTAAGTTCTTTTAGCATAGGAAAAATTAAGTATAAGGAATAAAGAAAATGGAGCAATGTTCTTTAAAATTGTCATTCCAAATAATTTTCTAAAAAATTCAAATTGACATGTAAAAATCAGGAATCAGGTTGTAAGGTTTTTGGAAAATAGACTGAAGTAATTTGGAAATCAAGAGCATAATAGAGAAGGTAACCATTTTTGTTTTTGCTTTTTCAGAGGGATCTATAATTATTAAAAATTTACTGTTTCTCACTATTCTTAAAGTATTCTTCCTTAGTTTCTGTTGGTGTTGATTCTTGTACTTTCCCTTCCTCTTCAGGAAGGGAAGTGTTCAGTCATGAGGGAATTGTGAGTTGTGAAGTGTTCAGTATGCATATTCCCATGTACTTGTCATATATACCTTCTGGGTATATACCCAGAAGGAATTTTGTAGTGTTCAGTCATGAGGGAATTCTGACCCCTAGCAGCCCCAGATCTCTATTAATGTGGCAACATTTTCCCTTTAGTTAAGTATAGTGCTCATTTCTTTTTTTTTTTTTTTTTTTTTGGTTTTTTTCTCCGGTACCGGGAACCGAACTCACGACCTTGCGCTTGCCAGGCAGGCGCTTTTGCTGCTGAGCTAAATCCCCAGCCCCCAGTGCTCATTTCTGTATGACATAAAAATTGGTTTGTGCCTAAGACCTTAAGAAAAAATATAAGATTTAAAGAAGCAAGCTGGCAACTTAGCTCTGTTTAGCTTTCCTATTTATTTTTTAATTGAACCTTTGTTTTGTCTAAAAGAGTATATTACCTGTATGCATAATCTTGTAACATGAGGGTGGACAGAGTGGAAATATTTCAAGTGGGAACCATTTTCTTTGAAATTCTTGTTAAGTCTTCAGCACTCTGCTAAATGGAAGTGGTTGACATTCCTCATGCTTTTAGGCACCAATAACTTGTTGATAAATAGTAATAAGCACCAATTTTTTGATTGAGGGATTTCAGGACACTTGGGTGATTTTAAAATTGAACACCAGCTGTGTGTATACGATGTTAGAGAACATATTCTTTAATACCTACAGTACAGTATTATAAACTCTTGTATGCCAAATAATGGATTTTGTATGAGTATATGCTGATGTCTGTTTATAAGAAGTGATTGACTGCTGATGTATAGAAACTTGATAAATAACACAAGTGTCAGTAATATTAGGTAATTTAGCTAATAAGCAGAGCCGACCTCAAATCTACATCTCAACCCATTTACGGTTTTAAAGTAATTGTTACTGTGGTAATGTGGACTATAACCTGTTATATTGAGAAGTAAGATGGAAAGCACCTTAGTGTTGTTCTAAAGCACTACAACATGTTTTTAAAATGCTCTGGAAATTGGTTTTATAATACAAGTTTTGTTTGTTTTCCTTTATTGGCAGGCATTCCCTATCAAATACAAAGAGAGGCATCCTCTGGAGTTCCTGAGACAGTACCCTCACCTTAGGTGTAGGACAAATGTTCTGGGATCTATACTGAGGGTTCGCAGTGAAGCCACAGCTGCTATTCATTCCTTCTTTAAGGTAGGGTGCTCTCTTTCTTTTTTGTGAAGAAGTTCAGTAATTGTGACATGGTAGTCTTTTCCTGAAAGTTCTGTTGTTAATTCCAAGTATCTTTTTTTGTTTGCTACAGGATAGGATGTCACAAGTGTGCATGTATATGCTGTGTGTGTGTGTGTGTGTGTGTGTGTACTGTGGCTTTACTGAGGAATGGTTGACATAAAATACTGTACTTAAAGTGTACAAGGTGATGAATTTTGGCATATGTATATACCCATGAAACTGTAAGATACCTAACACTCATGACTTCAAAAGTTTGTTTTGTCTATAATGTCTTTATTTCACCTTCATTTTTGAATGATGCTTTTAAGACACTAAAGTGTATTATTATTTGTGTTATTTCCAGCAAGAAATCTGATGTCATTTTTCTTCCTCTGTATATACTATGTCTCTTCTCTTTGGCTGATTTTAGGACTTTCTCTTTCATTGGGTTTCTACCAATTGGATTGTGATGTGCCTTAGTGCAGTTTTCTTTATTTTTCTCTTTTAGGATTTCTTGAATTTCAAGAATCTATGAGTGTATAATTTTCATGAAGAATTTTAAGTGATTTTTTCAAATATTTTTTCTGCTACCTCATTTGGGGATTGAAGTTATCCATATGCTATATTAAGCCACTAGGGGCTGGGGTTTTAGCTCAGCGGCACAGCGCCTGCCTGGCAAGCGCAAGGTCATGAGTTCGATTCCGGGTACCGGAAAAAACAAAACAAAACAAAAAAAAAACCTAAAAAATATATTAAGCCACTGATATCCCGTAGCCCACTAATGCACTTTTCTTTTTTTAAAAAAATTAATTTTTCTGTCTTTCTTTTAGATAGTTTGTATATAGTATTGCTGTGTCTTCAAATTTACTAATCTTCTGCAATGCTTAATACGTTATGAGTTTTTCCAGTCTAACTTGCAGGGACATCCAACTAGTGTATAAACGCTGAACACTGTTTTCTCTGATCTTTTTTTTTTTTTTTGGTTCTTTCTTGGTTTTGTCTTTTAATGGCATTGAGGATCAAACCCAGGTGCAGGATAGTCTGTCAGTGAGTTATACTTCCAGCCATTGTTTTCTTAATTTTAAGACAGGGTCTTACTAAATTGTTAAGAATGTCCTCTAATTTGCAATCTTCATGCCTTTGGAGTAACTGGGATTATAGGCATGTATCACCACTCCTGGCAACTTAATCTTTTTAGATAGTTCTTTTCCTAGTCTTGGATAGTTTCCTCCATACATGTGCTGATTAGTTCTCTACCTAATAATACTCCTCTGCAGAGCTCTAGAGCTCTCTATTCAGTTCTCTCCTCTCTAGTACTTTGTCCTATGCGCTCTAACTGCCTTGCTCTCTCTAGAGACTCAACTCTGTCTTCTCAATTCAGGAAGTCTACAGGGCTCCACCGTATTTCTTCGTTGTGTGATGGCCTGAAAAACGCAGTTGTAGTAAGCTGGGAGACAGGCAAGGCTTGCCATGTTGATTTCTCACCAGTCAAAAATCACTGCCTTTCATTGTCTTATACCCAGTGCCTTGAAAATCACTGTTTCATATGGTTTACCTTTTGTTTTTTATTATTTTTGTTTTGTGGTTGTATCAGAGAGGAGGGTAAATCCAATCCCTCTCTCTCCATTTTGGTTATAGGTACATATTGTATGGACAGTAAGCACTAATTTCAAAGTTACTGTTGTTATTCAAGAAGGTCGTTCTGATGACAAAAGGCATTTTGTCTTTATCTTTGCTGTTCAACCACTTTCCTCAACCTGGGAAGGCCACAGCAGAATGTGTTTGACGAGTTGTTGAGTTGAAGGCGTCCTTCCTATCATGTCAGGGCTTCCTCTCCTGTCATTGCAGGATGCCAAAGGCCGGAAGTGACCAGCAGATAAAGTTCACCGCTATTCCATGTGTTTTTCAGACTCAGCTCCTTTGTGGAAGTTGTGTAGCCTTCCCTTGGGGTACATCCAAATCCTTGCATTCCCAGTCCTGCTGTCGCTCACCAAGAGAGCTCATACTCTCTGAAAAAACTCCATCAGAGTTAATTTTGGTGAAATTGCCAAAGAACATTATGGCTTCAAGGCATGTACTTTTGATTAAACAAAGGAAGATAAATCGCATTATGTGATGTCATCCCAGTGTAGCTTGAAAGTATCTATTTACATATCCTGTCATAAACTTAACAATAAACTTCCACAGGTCTTTTCAGTAGTGCCTGAAGCACACAAACATAAAGTCCATTCAGATGTAAAAATATCTTTTCCCCTCAAGACTTCAACAGCCGATAATGTAGCCATCTTTATTCTGAAAGTTTTACAGATTTTTGGCCACTAGGTGGTGATATTGGCAATCCATTGATGAATAGACTTTACCTACTTTATGTGTTTATTACTTGAAGCTTTTACAGATATGCAGCAATTTAAAAATAAGAGAATAAGTTAGGAAAATCTTAAATAAGTAAAATAAACTTTAAAAACCTTTTTAAGTGCTTGAAAATAAGAATTTTAGCACCATTGGCAATAGAGTGTTGTAAAGGTAAGCTCTTTTCAAAGGACCTAAATTTACTTTTTAATTTAAAGTCCTGAAAAATATAATCTCAGTGCCTCATTCTATGTTTTCCAGTTGTATGTAGGGTTGAATTATTTTAAGAAATCACTATAGGACATACTAAATATGTTATTTACTATTTGGTACTATTTCTTGATTTGTTGCTAAGGGTTCCCTAAAAGATGTTAGGACTCAGAATGTAATCCCAACATCCTGGGAAGCTGATGCAAGGGACTCACACATTTGAGTCCATCCATTTGAGTCCATCCTGGACAACCTAGTGAGACCCTATCTCAAAAATTTTAAAAAATAAAAGAGTTGGGGTTATAGCTCAGAGTGAAGACCCTGAGTTCAATCCCCAGTATAAAAAAATTAAAATGTAAAATTTTTGTAAATTTGAAATTCTCCTGTAAAAATTCAAAATGTGAGATAAATAGAAACTTGAAGAGTACTTTAAGTTAGAACACTTTAAGGATCTAGAATTATTTTTTGGTTTGAATATCAAAAGAATTTTATGTGTAATTGGGTTTGTTCATAACCTAGATACATGCTGTATACTAAAGCTTGGCTGTCTAGAATCCTCAAGAATGAGTCGTCGAGGAGAGCTAAATTTCTCAAATAACTGAAGATTTTTCTTTTGAGGCACAATTTTTTCTGGCGTGTGGATTACATACTTGCTTGTCTTCTTCAAGGCAGTAGGAACACTGACCTCTCTCGTGCTGCTGCCTCAGGGTTGTCTTGCATGGCAGCCCTTTAAAGCCTGCTGTGGGGTACAGGAGTGGTCTTTACCCTTGTGTTCAACAGCGCTGCACTGCTGAGCTTTTGGTGTCTGTGACTGCCTTTTATAGATTGTAAGATTCTAGTCTTTTTATCTCCTCTTGTCCTTTTGCCAGTCACGTGCTTGTGTCTGACAATTCCTCTCACATTTCTTTTCTGTTGATGCACATTAAATAGCAATAGTTATTTCAGTTATATTGAAAGAAGAATATAGTTCATTAGTCTTCTGAGTGCTGTATATGGGCTTTAGTTTATAAATTTTATAATTTTTGGATATTTGGAGCTTCCTAAAATACCTGGTTCTAGAATGTGTACCAAAATATTTAGATATTTGACAGTGGCAGCTATAATCTGGAAAATTGGGTGAAGTGTTTACTTCTAATTTTGGTCCCTCCTCTGGCCATCATATCTCCCATTAGGAAGCCCTTTGCTGTGGGATGCTCTAAGTACCCAGGAACTGGTCACCCGTTTCAGGCATATACTCACAGTATTCCGCCCCTGCTTGCTACTTACTTTCTATTTTAGTTTTCTATTTCCCCTTCTGCTCTCTCTTTTTTGGACTCTCTGTTTGTATTCTTTTATTGTTCTTCCTTTGTACACTTTCCTTTATAACTTTTGGTAACATTATAAACTTTGATAAGCCTTGCTGGCAGTGTCAAAGTTTAAAAACCTGGTGACTCCTTTCAAAAGGTTTAGCGTTAGTTAAATATTAAAAGTAATTCCCACTTCTTGTGTGAATTTTTAAAACTCCTATATAGTAATGAGTTACCTCATACAGATTTTACAGTGTTGTTTCTGTCACATTTAACCAGGTCTAACGTGCAGCAATTCTATTTAAGCCGTTCAATTTTTCTCCTTTCTGCTTCCCCTTCCCACACTCATTTCCTTTGCATTTTTCACTTCCTTTCTTTGTTTACTGTGCTCCGGCTCAGAGTTGCCTGTGTTCTATGGAATAAATTATTCATGTCCATAATTCTTGGCTCCTAGGAGATAAAAATTTTATGCAGTAATGTTATTGATTGTATCTCTTTGGTTCCCTATGATGTGCTCTGCACAGCACCTCTAGGCCCATGGCTCTGAGGCTCAATTTATAGCTTGCATATTTAACCTGTCTATATCATAAACAAGTTGTTGACTAAATATATTATAGCCAGAATTCTTGAATTTAGAAAGGGTCATATTTGCAAGGTCCTTGATAATGCCTGGAGGTGTTTTGCATTCTATCTGTGATAGGCAGAATTTAGCAGAGATACAAATGTATGAATTTATTGTACTGGTTTCAAGGCTAAAATTTTGCATTAAACATACTATTCTGCCTTAGTATGTAAATTCACTTTCAGCAGCCTTTACTTTCACCCTGTTACATCTATGCCTAATGAAACCTTTTGCTTAGATCCATAGTCAACATGACAGAAGTGTAGCCTTGAAGTAGATGGGTTATTTCAATGCTAACAGCAGCTTTTGTGGTTCACTAATGGAAGTAGTCTTAGACTTTTGATAGGAAGGGCTGCAGCCAGGCGCCTAAGTGGTGGATGAACCTGATGTTGCTCAGAATATTCCTCTGGCAGAGAAAGTTCACTGCCTGTACCTCGTGCAGTGCGTTGTGCCATCCACTGAATGACAGAGATTCTCTAAAAGTCATTCCTGCCTCCTTTGCTGTTTTTCTTCAGTCCATATTTATTAGTCTTACTTTTCTCCTTTTTGGTGGTTTGTTACAACTGAGGTTTCATTCTAAGATAACCACACTTCACTGATCACTTTGCATTCCCTTAGCAATCTGAGGAACATCACTGTGCATTAGCCCTGAGTGAGTGTGTTTGTTAAATCATCACCAGTATCTTACAGAAGTGAGAAGGCATTAGAGAGAGCCTGAGGCCTAGGTCCCAGCCCAGGATTGACTACTGACAAATGGGTTTTTTGTTTGTTTGTTTGTTGTTTGTAGTACTAGGGGTTGAACCCAGGGCCTTCATGCTGAGCTACATCCCCAGCCCTTTATTTTTTTATATCGATAGAAGTTCTCGCTAAGCTGCTAAATTGCCCAGTTTGGGTTTGTGCTTGTGATCCACCTGCCTCAGCTTTCAGAATGCTGAGTTATACAGTCATATGCCAGCATGCCCAGCTCTAACTAGTTGTTTGACTTTCGGCAATTCACTAAATCTCTCTGGGACTCAATTTCCTTATCTTTGAAACGAAGAGATTGGGTAAGTTTATGTCCAAGTGTGTTCCAGTTTAAAATTCCCTGTGCTTCTGTGCATAGTAAAGCACTCAGCTGCTCTTCGGACAGTCTTACATTTTAAAACCTAGGAAGGATTTGATATGACGTCTCTTGTGCCATTTTAATAGTTTAACACAGTGTATGTTCTTATAATTGTTTTATGTGCAAATATACTGAAAAGAGTGGTTTTCCTTTTCCCTGCAGGACAGAGGCTTTGTGCACATTCATACCCCAGTAATTACATCCAATGACTGTGAGGGGGCTGGAGAGCTTTTTCAAGTTGAGGTAAGTTGTGTTTCTCATCCTGGAGACATAGTGCTGTTTGATCTTTTTCTCCTGAGATTTGCTTTAAATTTAATAAAAGTTGTTTGGACAAAAGACCTAGTTAATTAGAGAAATGCAAATCAGAATAACATTGTGACTCCATCTTACCCCAGAAAGAATGGCCATCATCAAGAAATAAAATAATAAGTGTTGGAGAAACTTCATGGAAAAAAGGAACCCTTCTACATTGTTGGGAATATAACCAAGTACAACCACTGTAGACATCATTATGGAGATTTCCCAAAAGTCTAAAACTAAAAATTCCATTTGAAGAGACATATTATAATGATACATGCACACCCATGTTTATAGCAGCACAGTTCATAGCAGCTAAACCTGGGAAGCAGCTTATGTATTCATCAACACATGACTGGGTAAACAAAATGTGGTATTCACATACGATGGAGTGCTACTCGGCCATAAAGAAAGATAAACTTGAGTCAGATGTAGGAAAATGCACTTTAAGACCAAATGTTAAGTGAAATAAATCAGAAGAATTAAGTACAAGCATAAATAAATTACATAGTTTCTCTTATATGAGAAACTCGAAAATATAAACACAGAGAGCAAAATAAAAGATAATAGGATATAGGGGGATAGATTTTTCTCATATGGGAAGGGAATCAAGAGATGAAGGGAAGAGGGAAAGAGGATGACAAGAGGAATTAAGATGTGTTATGTGCATGTACCAGCCTCATACAAGGATGTAAACATCATGTGCTTCAAACAGTTACTAAGAAAATCCATAACAAAGCAGCTTAAGATCACTTATAATAGTCACATACTTAGAATTTGACAAAAATTATGTTTAACTTTAAAAATTCGACTTTTTACTTAGTTTTTTTGAAAAAAGCACCTGAAATTATCAGTGCTAATCCTTAAAAAACCTTCCAAATGTTGTGATTTTCCTGCCCTGCCAACCACGTTACTTGCACTTTGAATAAAGGAGTGAATTTTTAAGTTCATACTCCATTTGCGAGATTTTTTTTTTTTTGCAAACTCAACTCAGTTAATATTTTTGAATGTGTCATGTTTTGAAAAATAAAGTAGAAAAGTATATATATATATTTTCTTTTCAAATTCTTTTGCTAATGCATTTTCATAAGAAATTACTTATGTTCAAACACTTAGTTTAATCCTTTTTTAGCAGTCATTTTTTGAACTCCTAGTATGTGCTGGGCACTGTCAACCCATCCCCCTTGTAGGTTAAAAAATGAATAAATAAAACTGAACTAACAAAAATCCCACCAATTTTTCTTAACTTGCAAGTAGTTAAAAACCTTTTATTTACCAGTTTTAAAACTGTCAAATCATTGACCAATACTATACTAATGGACAACAGAACTATATGAATAAATCATATTTTTTGTATTATCATTTTTTATTTACCAATTTTTTATCCCTAAAAGTGAGGATTATTTTTTTATAGACTTGGTTGATTCTGTCAACTGACAAGATTTGTATGTAACTTTTGTTTCACTGCCTTCTGACCCTTGGTAATGATACTTCATCTTTATGTTATTAAACAAAGCATTCACTGGGAGAAGTTACCCTGACATATTAAAGTCGTTATTAAGAATAACAAATGCTATCTTTTTTCATATATGACCTGAAGAACTCGTGATGTTAATTAACTTTCTGGAATAAAGTAGAATAAAAATACATTTTAAAGTAGGAACGTTAGCATCTGTGTATATGTTTTTAAAGAAGTAACAAATGACAAAATACCAGTATATTCTAAAAAATATTCTCCTTTAGTTGTTTGTTTTCCCTTTGCTTCTTGATATTCTTCTGAATATTGAAGTGAAGAAAAATTAACTTAAATACAGTTCATAATCCCTTAATCTAAACCACTGAATTACAAAATAAAGGCAGAGAAGCCAAAGTACAATTTAAATGAATTTTTACATAAAAAGGTACTTGTAGAGAGACCCAAATTAAACAAGTTTAAATAATTCTTCAACAAATTTTAACAATGATAAATGTAGAATAATTGGTATGCTACCACGGAAATCTCCTAAGCAGATCTGAGTGATTCTAATATGTGCATTTTGACCTCTGAACAACACTAAGCCTTTTACCAAGTAAATATGACTAGGAAGAGGGGAAAACATATCTTCCTAAAGCAAAATAAATGAGAAGTGTTCCATGTGCACATTATTTCAGGGATAGGAAGAGGAGTTTTACATAGTGGAAGTAGACTTGGCTCTTCAGAGTGTCCAGAAAGACACACTCTTGGATTCACTGATCCTAGGTCAGGGTCTGAAGAAGTTTTCAGTAATCAGTGACTTTTATGCCATCTGTAGCCTGCTGTCTTTGTTGCTTTCAGAAGTTTAACTACTATAGTAAGACTTATCTTCAACCCTTTATCCTTTGGAAGTAGTCCTTTTTTTTTTCTTTTCTTTTCAGTACTGATGATTGATTCCAGGGCCATCTCACTGGATTCCCAGCCTTTTTTTTTTTTTTTAATTTTGAGGCATCATCTAAGTTGCTCAGGCTGGGCTCAGACTTGGGGTCATCCTGCGTTGGCCTCCAGAGTGCTAGAGTTACAGACATGTGCCACCATGCCGTGCTTCAGTGCTCTTATTTTCATCTCACACACCTCTCTCATTCCAAGATTCATTGTTAATTTCCTCTTAGCTGCTGGTGGAGGCAAAAGGACACGAATCTGGTTGGTCACTTTTAGGAAGAGGTGGAGTTTTACATTTAAATTTTTGCTTCTCTTAATAGCATTTTTTCCTATGACAGCACTGAAGTGTCAGTAATCATTTAAAGATAAGGATGCCTAGTGTACACCCAGGTTTGAGGCCAGTAAGACTGTAAAGAAGCACGGCAGGAATATGTATTTCTAATACTCCTAATGAGAAGTGAATATCCGTTTTATCATTTTAATTTTCTTTCCTTCATTCCATTTCCTTCTTTTGGACTCTGGATATTTGTTAAGGCTTGGAGCCTGCTGAATACATATGTAAAAAGTTGCATTCAAAGCATTCATTTGTTATTCAGCAGACATTTGTTACCATCTGTGTTCAAGATGCACTGCTAAGCTTTATGGGAGTATAAAGATGTAGTTGAGGTTCTGTACTGTAAAGTTGGTGAGTTGACAGTAGTTGTTGAAGGAAAGTATGCTTTTATTCACCATTGATATTACTTCTTCTACAGTATTGTTTTGCTTCTTGGTCTTGAAGCTCTGAGTTCCCAAATTATGTTTGATCTTTATAATTCTGGAGCAACTGTGGATGGTCCCCAACTTAGGATAGTTCAACTTACAATTTTTTGCTTTAACCTCAGTACAAAAGGGATGAGCATTCAGCAGAAACCATATTTTGGTTTTGTGGTGCTGGAGATTAAAGCCGCGACCTTATGCATGCTAAGCAAACATTTCCTATTGAGCTGTACCCCAGCCCAGAAATCATTCTTTAAATTTTGAATTTTGATCTTTTTTCCTGGACTGTATCTATACCCTGTCATGATGCTGGGCAGCAGCAGATCCCAGTTAGCCACATGACCATGGGGGTAAACAACCACACCTACTACACTGTACTGTGTTGTCAAGCTGTGGTGTTCAGTCGGTCACATGTATTGAATGCATATCTGAAGTTTATAGTTTATCAGAATGTAGCCCCATCATAAGTCCAGAAGTTCCTGTAGTTTGTCTCTGAGAAGATGATAGAGATTAAGGCCAGAATTAGAGGCTGTGGCAGATTAGAAATTTCTGAGGAATAAGGTAAACTGTATATACATTTCCAATTACACTGTTACCAGTTATAAGCATTATGGAATATACAGCAAAATATCATCACAGAGGACTGAGTTGGTTGGTCAAAGAAGTCTTCAAGATGGACATGTAACTTCACTGTACTGTACCTTAGGGAGAGTATTCCAAGAAATGAGAACAATGTGAGAAGAATTGGAGAATTGAATTAAGCAAGAGGTTTTTATTAGACTAAGGGTAGAGATTAGAAGGCTTATATTGATGAATTATAAAAAAATAAAGCTGGCTAGCCTTAGAATGAGGAATTGGAGCAGGGTTTCTAGAAAACAATTTTATTAAGACATACATCATGTACCATAAAATTCACTCACTTAAGAGTATACACTTTCATGGTTTTTAGTACATTTAGAGTTGTGCAGCCAGTCACCAATTCTCATTTGAGGGCGTTTTCATCACCTTCAAAATAAACCCTGTGCTTATTAGCAGCCCGTTCCTGTCCCCACCCTGAGCTCTGACTGCTGATCTACAGTTATGCTCTTTTCTGGAACATTTCATATCATATGATCATACAACATACGGTCTTTTGTGTCTGACATCTTCCACTTAGTTTTGCAGTTCGTGTTGTAGCGTATATCTGCACTTCCTTCATTTTTATACACCGCTAGTAGTTCATTGTGTGATGTGCCACGTTTTGTTTGTCCTTTTGTCACTTGATAGGCATTTGTGCTGTTTCTGTATTAGCTACTATGAATAATGCTACAGAGGACACTTAAGAAAAGGTTGTGAATATCTGATTTCATTTCTTTTGGGTGGAACTTCTGATTCATGGTAACTCTGTGTTCAACATTATGAAAAACTACCAAATTGTTTTTCAAGGGGCTGCACCATGCCACACTCCGACTAGCAGTGTATGAGGGATCCAGTTTCATCGCATCCTCTCCTACACTTGTTATTTTTTGTTTCTTTGGTTGTAGTCATCCTAACAGATGTAAAACGGTATCTCAGTTGTGGTTCTGATTTGCATTTCCTGAATGACTAAGGATGTTGGCATTTTTCTCACGTACTTATTGACCGTTTGTGTAATAAGGAGGAGAAGTCTCTATTTTTTAATTGGTAGTTTGTCTTCTTGTTATTGACAGTGTTGTAAGAGTTCTCTTATATATCCTAAATACAAATCTATACCTGCCCCCGCCTCTCCTGAAATGGGGAGGCACTGGTGTTGCCCTCAGGGCACACAGTCTTGCAT